GAATTAAAAGGTATGATGACTAATTGCACAAAGTCCAGAAGAGGAAAAATGGAAGTATACTGTTGTTTACTTTTACTGTATGTGAAGTGGCAATATTACTTGAGGGTAGGCTATGATAACTTAAATATTTAAAAACTAAATAACACTCTTCTAAATAAACTATGGGTTAAAGAAAAAATCAAAAGAAAAATTAACAGTTATTTTTGAACTGAGTAAAAATAAAAATACAACCTAACAGAATTTATAGAATGCGGCCTAAGCAATTTTTAGAGGTAAATTTATGGTATTAAAATCTTAAATTAGAAAACATGATCTCAAATCAATAGCCAAAGCTTCTATTTTAAGTAGAAAAACAAGAGAAAATAAAACTCAAAGTCAAAAGAAAAAATTATAATAATAAAGATAGAAGAAATCAGTGATATAAAAAACAAATAGAGAAAAATCAATTATACAAAAACTGGCTCTCTGAGATCTATAAAATTTATAAATCTTTAGCCAAACTGATCAAAAAGAGAATGTACACATTTCCAATATCAGGAGTGAGAAAGGGGATCACTATAAATCCTATAAATATTAAAGAATAATAAGAATTTTGCAAATAACTAAGGAAATAGTATATTAACTATACCACAATTAGCAGGCAAGTCTATTTAGAGGTTGAAAGGAAGAGCCGTGATCCTTGACATGCTATATTAAGTTGCTAAAATGACTTATATCTAGGATGTTTTTATTTGTGCCAAGAGCAAAACATTATCTAATACCTGAGGTTTGGAGGGAGCTGTGCTAGGAACAAAAAGATATAAAAAGAGGTTCTTTTAAGATATGTATTATGCATATAAAATAATAAGCAATAAATTTTAGGTGATGATAGATTAAATAAATATTCTTTAGATTGATGAAAGGAAGTAATTGTAAAGGTCGAGGCCAACCTCATGAGGAAATTTATCCAAATAGCTTAACATTTATGCTGGAGTTATCTAAGCTTGTGATTTCTGGATGTAAATAAGAAGGGATGATAATTTGAGAAACATAAATAATGTCTAAGCCTCAATAACTTGTTAAAACATTTTAAATAAAAGATACAAGCTAAATTCAAGATGTAATTAATAAAAACTTCAAGAGACGCAATAATAGAATGCAATTATTAGGCTATTAAATTAATTCAGAACAATTGGATTGAAGGCAAACTGATTTTACAATATGCCAAGGAAGGAACAAATACTAAACAAAGCTTGTATTCTTAGGCTTATTTCTTAGCATATGATATAGAGAGCAAACAGAAGCATGGTGGCATGCTATGAGTAAACTTTGCTTAGAGCAACTCTGAAATTGAAATTCTCACATAGGAATTCTGCTCCTATAGATGGTGGTAGTATATTTTCATACTCATATGCCCTCCAAAATAAAACATATCCATATTAAAGTCATATATTTATCTACTATTTGCACCAGTTGATAACTTATCTTAGACCAATTTAGAAGTTTTCAATAATGTGGATTTAGGTGCATTTCTTATCCCTTAATTCAAACATACTATTCAGAAATACCAGATTACCTGTGCACTTTTTAAAAAAGTTGTGGTATTCTAACACTAATATCTAGGAGAGGGGACTTTTTTTTACATATACAGGAGAGAGAAGGCACACAGTACGTGAGTTTTGCAGGGGTGCATAAGTATCAGTGCATAGCACCTTTTCAAGCGCCGACATTTTAGTCCCTGGTGATACTATTGCCTTCAAAGCAAGTCTTAATAGGCAACAAGTAAGCTGCCATTAGATTTTGTAAGTACTCTGAATCAAGATCTCAATTAATTGAGAAAGTGATTTCTGTTTTATGGACCCCATATATATAAATGCAAGAATGCAGTTGTCCCTCAGTATCTGTGGGGAATTGGTTAGGGAACTCTCATGTATAATAAAATCTGCGATTGCTCAAGTACCATATATTAAGTAGTATAGTATTTGCACGTAATCTATGCATATCCTCCCGTATCCTTTAAATCATCTCAAGATTACTTATAATACCTAATACAATGTAAATGCTATGTAAATTATTATTATGCTACAGTTTCTATTTGTATTATTTTCATTATATTGTTATTTTTAAAAAATATTTTATGAATGTGGAATCGTAGATACAGAGGACTGACTAGTATCCACATAATAAACTTTTAAAGAGTGGTCAAGGTCAGGGGCAGTGGCTCACACCTGTAATTCTAGCACTTTAGGAGGCCAAGGCGGGAAGAATGCTTAAGTTTGAGACTACCCAGAGCAATATAGCAAGACTTCATCTCTACAAAAAAAAAAAAAAAAAATTAGCTGGGCCTGGTGGTACACACCTAAAGTCTCAGCTACTCAGGAGGCTAAGGAAGGAGTATTGTTCAAGCCTAGGTGTCTGAGACTGCAGTGAGCTATGATGTATGATGCCGCCACTGCACTCTATTCCAGGCAACAGAGTGAGACCCTGTCTCAAAAAAAAATAAAAAAAATAAAAAAGAGTGGTCAAATGTTATAAAACTATAGGCTTAAAGAAACAAGATCAAAATAAATTTTAAAGCACATCTTCAAAACTGAAAGGATTGATTACATAATTTCACCTGTTTTACCTGGTGGCCCACAAAAGCAGAGCTAACATAGCAGGAATCAAACAATTTCTTTATTTATAAGACATATGCAGCACGGATAGATCACTTATTATGTGTCAAAAAGTATTTTAAGCACATAATAAATATCAATTCATTCCAGTCCCCACAATAGTCCTATTTGATATATATTAATGTTCTGTTTTCAAGTGAAAGGGGGAAAGAAAAACAGAGAGAGAGAAACAAAGTCACCACCAACAAACAAAAAAGACAAAAATTTATGACGTGTAGAGACTAACCACCAGATATAAGGACAAATTGAAATTTGAAACCAGGTCTGCCTGAATTCCAAAGCCCAAGTTTTTAGCATTATATTTTATTGATATTTGGACCAATTAAATCTGGGAGTCGATGGGTACCTATTAGTTACCTTTAGATAAATAAAGGCTAAGATGATATGTGAATTTTAAAATTTTTAACTCTTTGCACTCAGATGTTGAGTGTGGATACAGTCGAGTGGATAATGAGAAAAAAGCAAGTGAGGGCAAAGGATTAAGCCTTTCACATATTAACGTAAGTGGAATTGATAAAGATCAAACTTCTTTGTACCTTTTACCTATGTGTCACTGTTTGTTAATGTTTAACTCCCAAACATGAATGATTCTTTCAAACTGATATTTTATGTATGATCATGATGAAACATAATTATTGTTTTAAGATGGAAACTTTACACAAAAATTTTACATACTACTGCAATTTTTTCACCCAATTTACTTCCTCTCATTACCTGTTTTGTAGTTCAATCTAGTGGTTGCTATATTACAAATAAGATATTCAGTACTGGCCGGGCGCGGTGGCTCACGCCTGTAATCCTAGCTCTCTGGGAGGCCGAGGCGGGCGGATTGCTCAAGGTCAGGAGTTCATAACCAGCCTGAGCAAGAGCGAGACCCCGTCTCTACTATAAATAGAAAGAAATTAATTGGCCAACTGATATGTATATAAAAAATTAGCTGGGCATGGTGGCGCATGCCTGTAGTCCCAGCTACTCCGGAGGCTGAGGCAGAAGGACCGCTCGAGCCCAGGAGTTTGAGGTTGCTGTGAGCTAGGCTGACGCCATGGCACTCACTCTAGCCTGGACAACAAAGTGAGACTCTGTCTCAAAAAAAAAAAAAAAAAAAAAGATATTCAGTACTGTATTCTATAGAATAAAAAAAATCACTACTAGAAATAATATTGGATGCAAATCTAATCTTGGTCAATAGTGTAGTATTTTTTCTAATGTTAATAACAATCTACCAGAGTGTGAAAAATGTTGATTTTAGAGAGACATTTAGAAAAATATAAAAGGCAAGCTGTTAAGTTCTTATTTGTACCTTTACATTTTATAAAAATTCAGTATTTCATATTAATCCCATCAATTTTATTAAAATCTGTTTACTAAATCAGATTAAATGCTTGCTATTTTTGGTTAAGTTCTTTTACCTGTATTTTCTTTTGTGACATCTGCTGGCAATATCTGGTATTACAATGCTTCATAATTCACCTTTATCTGCCTTCTCCAACTGTCCAACACTTTTTCAGATAATACCAATTAATTCAATTTAAGAAACTCAGTGAATATCCTTAACTAAAAAAGAGATATTTTAATATGATGCCCTATCATAGAAGTGGAAAATTCAGCACTTCAGAAGCTGAGAAATTATTTATTTAGCATATTATGGATATATTTAATTTTATTGCTAGGTACTAAAAGATATATGGTGCTTTTTCTTTTCTGAAAACTCTAAACTCATTCCATGTAAGAATGTTGTGTATGGTAATGCTTACTTTGACAAGTGTCAACTAATCCCCCTAGTGACACTCTACCACTCAGTTATTCTCTACAATTTGATAAATATGTGGCAAGAACTGTACATTAAAATACAATTGTGAAGGGATCCAGTCTAAGTTCATATTAAAAATGAGTGAACTGTACTTAGATCTTGGTACACATTGAATCTATGGCTACGTGTGAAGCAGAATGCATGAGCAAACTTTTTATATTACCAGGAATCCATTTATCCACAGTCCCATCAGTCAAATTCAGATACTTGTTGCCAGCTCCAAGATTTATAGGCTGGAGCTGGTTTTTGAAATTGCTTTGTATTTCCATTTAACAGCCAGGGCAGCAGCATGTTAAAATTTTGCCTTGGTCTCCTTGGAGCCTATTTATAAAGCTAATTTGTCTCCCTAGACATTTTTTCTCTCTCTCTCTCTTTTAAATGCCAGCTCTAGGCTTCTAAACCATTAAACTCCCTTCTTTATCCCAAGCAAAATACTGTCACAGACGACGCTTTTGCAGGACAGTGATGATTCCGATGATGATATAGTTCTCCCAGGCAGGATACAAACCATCTCGCCTTCTGGCCGGAGATGGATTCACTGCCCTCCCTGCAGACACGCAGGCTCACACACAGAGCACGGGGAAGTACACATTTACTGTATTGCATGCCGACTGCCTTCAAGAAACTGTAGCTAACCACCTTATTAGTATTCTTGCCTCCACCGAGTCTCACTTGCAGCATCAGAGGGCTGAGCAAATGCAGTAGAACAGGGACAGACACAGCTCTGGCAATCATCTCAATGCAGGCTGCCGAATGTTGGGGGTGGGGGATGCAGCACATCAAGATTAATAACCTTGCCATAATCCGGGGCACCCTGCAAGCAGACACCTCTGCTGATTGACCTGCTCCTGGCTTGATGCATCTTCCTGGGGGAGAGGGATCCAGAATCTACCTAGTCCTAGGGGGCCCCTCCTGATTTTGGATGTTCATTTGATCCTTCACAGATCTGGGAAGGTAACAGTGAGCCGTACCATCTGCAGCACACAGCAGCTCTTGGAGGTTACTACTGACAGTTTTCATTACACTGGTTTGTGTGAGTGCGTGTGTTTGTGTGTGTGTTTGTGAGTGTGGGTGCCTGCCTTCGCGTGCAAAAATATGTGTTAGTGTCCGTGTGTGTGTGTATGTTTGTGTGACAACCAAAGCAGGTATATCGTACAGTAGGCGATTTCAACAGCGTGACTATTCTCTGGGCACTTGGGCTCACAGTCTGTAGACCCCCCGCCTTTCACCACCCCCTCCCTTCCCCGCTCCCCCCTTCTCCTTTTGCCTTTGATGAGTTTTTGGCTTACTTTTTGGCGGAGTCTCTTGGACACGTTTTTGCTGGTGCTGGAAGATCAGATAAATGGAACCTTTGAAAACTGATTATTTTTCTCCTATGTGACTTTAAAAAAAAAGAAAAGAAAAAGAAGAAAAGAAAATAGAGTAGTGCACGTCAACCCAGAAGGATTTTAAATTTTCCTTGGTGAACTTTGAGGATCCACAGAGAAGGTAAGTCACGGGACGACTTAGCTCTTAGTCCTTGTTGTCTTGCAATGTTTGTGCTTTCCTGTTTGTTTTCGGAAATCCATATGCAGTTTATGAGCGTATTTCTAGAGACTGGAATACTCAGAAGAACTCAGTGTGTGGCATTTTGGGGCTATTTTTATGCCAAGGAGATTATTTCCATTTGTATAACCATCCCCCTCCACCCTTCTTACCATTTTTATACCTCTCTTATTTATCTAACATTTTCACAGTGAATTCTGAATATATAAAATCTGGAAAAAAAATAATTCCAGCTTTCTCCCTCCTTGAAATATTCACTAAATTTCAGAAAAAAAATTAATCAGAACAGCTACTGGCAGAGGCTCTGAGTTAGAGGTAAAGTGTGTCTGCTCTGAGACTGGGGGCGGGGGTTGGGGGTGTAATCTGGACTTTCACCGTAACTTAATAGTAGACTTCTCCCCTCCCCATAGCTCTTAATTTTTTTTCCCCTTGAATAGTTATATCTGCCTTGGAGAGTAGCGAATGTGTGGAATACAGAAAAGCTGCTTCAACAGCTCTTAATTGGAGCAAATGAGAACAAAGTGGAAATTGTTTAGTATTTTGAACCTCTCTTTTTTGCACTGATTCTCTTGCTGTTGCATCTCATTAACCTTTTCTGAATGCAGTGTCCCCTGATTAAGACTAGTGCCGCTCATTTTGGAACATCCTCTTACCCTACGTGGTCCCTAGAGAAGGGAGTGTGGTTGCAAATTGCTCTTAATTGTCTATTCTTGGCTGTAAATGCAAGTGGCATTAGGAATTCAGGTGACTTTAGTCAAACATCTTGCCTAACTCAGTCTCTTTAGTGTTTCCTGGTGGTTATGCCTTCATTTTCCCCCCTTTTTCCTTCAAAGTGAAATGCAGATAATATTTTACCTGTTTTGATCTTGAGATTATTTAATTGAAACAAAATACCATCTCATTGTGATAGCATCTGTGTTCCTGTATCTGTGAGTATTTTTAGCTCTGCATTGGCATCAATTAGCTTCTCCCTAGGAGTAAGAATCGCTTGTAAATAGATGTAAAAAATGCTGGAGCCCCCAGGTGAAAGCAATAGAACCTTGTTCTTCCTCATTCAATGCATATGGATAGTTTATCCTAAAAGGAATCTTGGTATTTCATGGAATGTTAGCCAACTTGAACTGTTACTGTGAACCTATTCATGGAAGAGATGACAGGTGTGTTAACTAGGTAGAGGAGAGCATACCTAGGTGATTCTTTGCAAGTATTGATGTCTATGAATAGAAAGAAGGTACAAATTATAACAGATTTATTCAGAGACTAGATAGCCTGAGTCAAAGATTTATGAAAGCATCCAAGTTGAGAGATGTCAGACATCATACTCAAAACATCGATAATATTTCTTTTTTTTTTTTTAAGAAAGTTATCTAAAGGAAAAAAAAACTTAAGGATATTATACTCTGGTATTACCATAGGCTATCCTTTCATCTATCTAATATTTTTTGCATAATGATATTAGAGAAATATGTAAGGGAAGACAACTATTAGAAGCTTCCCCTCCCCCCACCCCTACCTGACCCTCTAACTGATACTTATTCCATACTCTGCTATTGATAAAAAATAGTATGGGAAAACTCTCTCCTGTAGGTATAATTTATGATATGTCTTTCTTGTCAAATATTTCTGATCAGGATATTTTCTTCTATTGCCCATAATTTCCAGTTACATTTTTCTTGTCTAGAAAGGAGGTTTTGCTGTTTGTTTGTTTGCTTTTCTTCATTTTTAAATGACATGAATGCAGAAGAAACCCTAAATAAAATTTCATTTTCTTTGTGGGGAAAAATAACCTGGGATTCATGAACCCTGAAGGTGGGGATAATATGTAAATGAGAAACAAAGTGTACTGTTCTAAGGTGAGAAGAATGCTGATGCCCCAAGTGCCAAAGGGTCATGCAGGGTACTGGAGGCTCCCCACACTCTGTCTGGGCAATTATCATTCCTTAGGTTGGTCAGCTCTTTGTGAACCTGCAGGTTTTGCTAACTAATCCCAAGTACAGAGGACAGTATTTTAGGTCATCTATTTTGTGTTAGGACTGATCTGAATAAAGAGGAGACCTTTGAAAATGCCGTTCTGGAAGTTGGCAGATTAGTACCTCTTTTCATTGAGGCTGTTTAATTTTGACTCTTCCTTCCCCCATTCACATTCTCACCAAGTATTGGTATTTTTAGACTTGTGGTGTTGGTAAAAGTTAATTGCATAGATTATGCTCAACACCATCTGAAAAAAAAAGAGTAACAACTTGGCTTTTGTGTATTTGAGAGTTAATAATTGTAATGAATGAACATTCTAGCGATAGCAACAATTTCATTATCACTTATTTTAGGCTAATAATAGAAGTGGGGTACAAGCCAACTCAGGATTTTCTGATTACAGCTCATGCAATGTGCAAAGCATCTCCTCTGTATCTCAAGGGTTCCTGATGGTGTTCGTACAACTGAAACTTTGCATCTTTATTTTCAGCTCGGGCCAGAGCAATGGTAAAAAGTTTTAGATCTGAACTGACCCCAGATCCATGGCTTTCTTTTGTCATTTTGATCTTTATTTTGTGATAGACAGTGTGGAAACTTAACAGAGTTGGTTTTCTTGCTTAGTGAATTCAGGTGGAAGGGAGAGTAGGGAGTTTTCCATTTCAGTAGGAGTAACATGTCAGAGTTGCCAAAGAAAAGGCTAAAGTTCCCCCAGAATAAATATATGCAGGGTGGTATTTTTAAATTACTGAATGGGGAAGGGTTGCTTTGAGTTTATTGGGGAGAATAAATGATGTTCCAATTCTTTCTCTATTTACCTCCAGTCAGTTGGCAGGCCTTTCTCTGGATCTCTGCTCAAGTCAGCCAATGAGGCCCAACATTCTCCAGTGTGTTTCTATGTTTTTAAACCCAGGGCACTTAACACATGAATGAATAGCTCTTTCCCTCTGTAACAAACAGGGCTGGCTGCTGGAAAGTCAGCTACTGAGAACCTTTAAAGGAAGCCAGGAACATCACCCAGTAAGTTCAAGAGCACAGAGGAGCTTTCCAAGCTCTGGCCCTGGAGGTGAGTGAGGTCCAGGTGGATTGAACTTGAAGTTTTGATTGCTGAGTCATTACAACAGCCTGAAGCTGTGTGTTAGCTCGCTGATCTGAGCTGATGCTGGGATTGGGGCTACCATGAAGAGGCTAAAAGCATCATCCTGCAGCAGAAAAATGCAGACTCCTGGGATGAAGGAGCTACACTGGTGACAGATGCTTTTGTGTGTCCTTGCTATTGTTCTCCATCACTTTAAAACAACTTCTCAGGGTCTCCCCCAATATATTACCAAAAAAAAGATTAATTAATTGATGTGTGAATAATAGGGCAGGGTCTTTGCGATAGACTAAATTAACTCGCTGAATTATCTGCATCTCATTTGGGACAACGCAGCAGTCACAGCTGAGATGGCATGGTGGCGGCTGGGGTTACAATCAGAAGAAGGAAAACTCTGGACTGAGAATCAGAAGGTGTCATTCAGGCATTGACAGTGCTGCTTAATTGTTGATAAGTCACTCAAACTCTCAGGGCCTTGGTTTCTTTCTATATAATTTAGAAATAAGCATTCTTAAACTCATAGTGTTGCTGTGAGGATTATAATAAAAATCATATTTATGACAATAAAATGATCTGTAATTATACATTGCTGGAGAAATGTAAGGTGTTATGCTATTGATGACTTCATATATGGTTCAAGGCACTAGAAACTGATTTCTCCAATATGATTTCAAATTAAATTGATTTAAAAAGACTGATCTTTTCTTCATGTTTAGTGATAAGCATTTGTGTTGCTATAGTTTGGATGTTTTCCCAAGTATGTTGACTTTTCTTAGTAATTTCTGTGGTATATTCTTAGTTACTTATGTGTGTGTGTGTGTGTGTGTGTGTGTGTGTGGAGTGTGCACATGTGTGCATGTACACATGTATAAGTGACTGGCCAATCTATAGGCAGAATACTTTTAGATTTATGAAAAACAGAAAATGTGTAATGACCCAAATCCATTGGCACTGGGTATGCAGAAAAGATAAGAAAAACTTGGCCTCCCCAGCTTTTTCTGGCAATACACAGGCTACTCCCAGTTTGTCAATCTCCAAAAAACTCTTATCCACAATGAGGTTGTTGATTAGAATTTGATTTATACTTGGAAATTGTATAAATGAGATATTTATTTATAATAACAGCATGGGTTATAATGATTGTCACACTGACTTGAATTTGGCAGACAGATAAGTCAGGATTAAAAGGCTGAGTTGAAGATTATGATAGCAGGAGAATGTGGTAGTTGAGTATAGGCTTTGGAGTTGGACAGACTTGGGATCAGAGCTCCAATTTCTTGAAATCTCAGTTATCCAGTCTGTAAAATAGGGATAGCCATAAGTGCTTCTGTGATGAGTTAATGAATGATTGTATAAAAAACACTTGGTAAAACTCTTGAGACAAAAATGGAGTTCTATATGTGGTTCACATACATTCTCTCATTCCTCTCCATCTGGTTTAAGAATTAGAAAGACTACCCTAATTCATTGTACTTATATCTTTACACAGGTGGGCAAAAACCCCAAATGTAATCTGAGAGCTAGGTAAAATTGAACAGAGAAAGCTGTGTTTTTGAAAGCTGTATTTCTGTAAATTGGCTCATTTCATGTACCATGGTTTCATCAAACCCTTTCTTGGAGTAGCCTAAGCATCCTTTCCAGATATCACCTCACTTATGCTCACAACTTTCAAAATGATACTGAACATAAACAGCAAGAATTATGTGCACTCATCCATATGTGGGTGCAGAAACACAATTTGTATGTCAGCAAGTAGTGTTAACATCACTTTTTGCCTAACATCTCATTTTGTTCACAGTCAATGAAAGGATGCATATTTGTTTAGCACCTACCAAGTACAAGCACACTGATCATTGCTGTGGTGAGTTTTAGAAAGACA